AAAAAAAAAAAAAAAAAAAAAAAAAAACCAAAAAAACACTGAGAAAATAAAGGAGAGAAAGCAGACATTTGGCTGAGGAGGAGACTGGGATTTTCTTTTAGAACCAGCTCAGTTCCTGCTTTAGGTCTAATGTTAGAGCTGCTGTGGACATTTTGGCACAGAAGAAAAAGTTCAAACAAAAAAGGACTATCACAAATTATGTATGAATTACAAGGGAAAAATGGTAACTTTATTTATTTATTTTTTGAGACAGTCTTGCTCTGTCGCCTAGGCTGGAATGCAGTGGCATGATCACGGTTCATTGCAGCCTTAAACTCCTAGGCTCAAGAGATCCTTCCACCTCAGACTCCTCAGTAGCTGGGACTAAAGGTGCACACCACCATGCCCAACTGATTTTTAAATTTTTCTGTAGAGATGAGGTCTCACTTTGTTGCTCAGCCTGGTCTTGAACTCCTAGACTCAAGTGATCCTCCCACTTCAGCCTCCCAAAGTGCTGAGATTACAAGAATGAGCCACTATGCCCAGTCCAAAACAGTAACTTTATAGTAGAGAAAAAACAAGAAACCAAAGCTAATCTCACCAATACTAGAGCAAACTGACATCCTGTGTCCACTGATATGATGCACTGGGAAGGACACGATATCATTTCAATGGAATTTCTGTCAAAAATATAGAACCTGAATCTTATCATGAGATAATAATAGACAAGTCCAAATTTAGGTACGCTATACCATGTAATTGGTCTTAATCTTGAAAATGTCAAGATAAAAAAATACAAAGACGGCAGGGCACGGTGGCTCATACCTGTAATCCCAGCATTTTGGGGGCCGGGGCAGGCAGATCATGAAGTCAGGAGTTCAAGACCAGCTTGGCCAACATGGTGAAACCCTGTCTCTACTAAAGATACAAAAAATTAGCTGGGCATGGTGGTGGACACCTGTAATCCCAGCTACTTGGGAGGCTGAGGCAGGAGAATTGCTTGAATCCAGGAGGTGGAGGTTGCAGTGAGCCGAGATCGCACCATTGCACTCCAGCCTGGGTGACAGGGCGAGGCTCTGTCTAAAAAAAATAAGAAAGAAAGGCTGAGAAACTGTTCCAGATTAAAGGAAATTAAAGAAACATGATAATTTAAAGCAGTATGTATTCCTGAAGTGATTTTTGGACCCAGAAAACATCTGTAATGGACATTATTGTGATAATTGAAAAAAAATTGAATATGTACTGTACATTAGATAATAGTCTAGTATCCAGTGTAAAATTTTTTTTATTTTGATAACTACTATGGTTGTACGGTTGTCCTTAGGAAACATACACTGAAGTATTTGGGAATAAGGGGGCATAATGGTTTCAACTTACTTTTTTTTAAGAGATGGGGTCTCACTATGTTTCCAACCTGGACTCAAACTCCTGGGCTTAAGTGAGACTCCTCCCTCAGCCTCTCGAGTAGCTAGAAATACAGGCATCAACTAACTTTTTAATGGCTTAGAAAAAATGCAGAGAGAGCAAGTGAGTGAAAAAGAGAAAACAAATGGGACAAAATGTGAACAATTGGTGAATTTGAGAGCAGGTTATATGGGAATGTCTGGTACTATTCTTGCAACTTTTCTGTAAGTCAGAACATATATCAAAACAAAAAAGTATCAAAAATAAAAAATACTCTCCAGACGTGGTGGCTCATGCCTGTAATTCCAGCACTTTGGGAGGCCAAAGTGAGAAGATCACTTGAGCCCAGGAGTTTGAGACCAGCCCTAGGCACGTGAGACCCCATCTCTACAAAGAAGTTTACAAATCAGCCAAGCATGGTGGCACTCATCTGTAGTCCCAGCAACTCCAGAGGCTGAGGCAGGAGGACCGCTTGAGCCCAGGAACTCCAAGGTGCCATGAGCCCTAATAGTGTCACTGCACTCCAGCCAGGGCAAAAGAGTAAGACCCTGTCTCAAAACAAACAAACAAATCAAAGCATGACAATGTAATAAACGAAAACAACATTGTGTCTCTATAAAGTTTTTTAAAAGTTTTAAAATAAGGTGTGGTACCTTTGATATAAAAGGGAAGGGCCCAGGCCAGTCTTGTGAAAGCGTAAAGAAAGAACACCCTTTCTCCCAGGGCCACATGCCTTTCCCAGCTTGAATCAGGGAATGAGAGAGGCACCCAGGTCCCAGCATTCCTGGACAAACAAACAGAACACACCAGACAGCTAAAGGACCGCAGCCCTGACTTTGGGGATTTCTTGCTTATGGCATTTCAGAATTTTCACCAGTAATAACTGTCCAAACAGACACACACACACACACACACACATAAAACAAGAACCTCGCTGCAAGGGACTAGCTTGAGACTAAGCTATTTTCACCTTGGAATGATAATATATCAGGGCAGTTAAAGTCAAAGCTTTGTAGTTTGTTTGTTCTGGGTTCAAACTCTGACTTTACCACTTGAGAGAGGAATGTCCTTGGGCAAGTCCGCTTGATCTCAATGGATTTCACCTTACTCATCCTTAACACAAGGCTTCAGTAGTACATATCTTACAGAGCCGCTGTGAGAAATAAATGAAATAGTGAATGCCAGGCACTCAGCACTATCCCTGGCTCACAGAAGGTGTGCAATAAGTGCAAACAAATATGTAAAAAACGGTAAAATGATTCTAGGAGTTAGATGTGTTTCGAAAGCTGGTTAAGGGGCTAAGGACTTTTCTAGGAATAACTTGTGCTCACCGAATATTTACTCCATGCCTGTCACATGGCACATTTGATCTCATTTAATTTTCAAAACCACCCAAAGAGTCAAGTATTATTTTCATTTTACCGATAAGAAAATAAGACCTAGAATGGTAAGCTGTTTGCTGAAAGTCCCCCAGCAAATAAGAATTGGATCATTCCAGAGCAAGCTTGTCCAACCCACAGCCCACAGGCCACATGCAGCCAGGATGGCTTTGAATGTGGCCCAACGCAAATTCATAAACTTTCTTAAAACATTATGAGGCTTTTTGTGATTTTTTTTTTTTTTTTTTTAGCTCATAAGCCACTGTTAGTGGTAGTGTATTTTATGTTTGGCTTTGGGCCAAACATAAAATTCTTCTTCCAGTGTGGCCCAGGGAAGCCCAAAGATTGAACACCTTTGTTTAAGGCAACCCAGTTTGGTGCCAAGACAAAGAGGTTGAGGGATGATATGAGCACCATCAAATGTCTGTCTTCAAGATTGTCCTTCAATTGGTAACCTACAAGGTCCCAAGTCTAAATGAGGATCAAGTGAGTTGGGCCAAGGGGGCTGCAATGGCTTTTGAAGGAAGCCAACCAAAACTATTGCCTAAGATACCCCAGCCTGGGTTCCAGAAGCTTAGACCGCAACCAGTGATGACTCCAAAATGGGGCTGGCTGCTACTGGAAGCAGTACCCTTGGCACAGATAGGAAAGCTATCAGCACTGGGCACTGGCCACCTTAGCACGGATGCTGGCGAGTACCAGCAGCCATGCTGATATCAGCAGGAAGCACCTGGTAACAAGCTGAAGTCTTAGAGCAGGAATTTGGAGATGGGGGGCTTGAGGGTACAGATGAGAGGACCAGACTAGGGGACACCTATCAACACCACTGCCAAGGACTGTCATCACAACAGGGGAAGTGGAAGCAGAGCGAGAAGAGGACTATTGCTAGGTAAGAGGACTGCATTTTTTTTTTTTTTTGTCACCCAGGCTGGAGTGCAGTCACAGGATCTCGGCTCACTGCAACTTCCGCCTCCTGGGTTCAAGCAATTCTTCTGCCTCAGCCTCCCGAGTAGCTGGGGCTACAGGCATGCACCACTATGCCTGGCTAATTTTTGTATTTTTAGTAGAGACAGGGTTTCACCATATTGGCCAGGATGTTTTCGAACTCCTGACCTCATGATCTGCCCACTTAGGCCTCCCAAAGTGCTGGAATTACAGGTGTGAGCCTCCGCGCCCAGCAAGGACTGCATTTTTTACCCCTAGGCTAAAGAGCCTGGAGGATTATAACTTACAGAGCAGAGAAGAACTCTGATACTCATACCTGCATAGTGCAAGCTAGTCAGTAGACAATACCTAGGTAATTCATTTTCTGATTTCTGACATTAGTGAAAGGTTGAGGTTTTGTTTGTTTAATAACAGCCTTCATTTAGATCTTTGCAAACAGCCTTGAATGAGGAATGTCCTTATGTTTCAGGGAACATACCAGGCCTGGAAGCAGCTTTTTAGGATAAGCCTCACTCATTGAACTTCAAATGCACTGACTCCAACCATTTCCTAAAATAAGGAAAATCTGTCTGCACAGACGGCATTTTCACTCTCCTGAATGTTTTCTGTTGGTTGGTTGGTTTTATTGGTTGGTTGGTTTTGATACAGAGTGATATAATATCATAAAGAATATTAGTCAGGAATGGGGCACAGGTCTAAAGCAGGTCTTGGGACCTTGGTTTATTAATCTTTCTGGGCTTTAATTTATTTAGGTATAATATAAAAGGACGTTAATATATGATTGAGAAGGCCCAAACCATCTTTAAAATTTAGATCTGTGTCTCCCCACCAGAGCTCTCTGGAGATACAGGATCTTACTCAACCTCACACAGATTCTTGAGTTTCTGCCATTCACATCTACACTGAAAATTCTCCCATAAACTTTATACAAGTCCTTATGGAATCATTAAAGCTTTGAAAGAAAACAACAGTACCTATTATAAAAGCCCAACAAACAGAGAAGAAAATCATGTTTTATAACCCAAGAAATCTGTCCAAATCCTAGAATTTTTCTTCAGAGAACATCACAAGAAGGAACGGTCTCCTCCTTCCTGGGGGAAAGTCAGGGTTTCTTTCATTTCCACCTTGTTCACTTGTAACCACTTTCGCCAGGCAAAGTTCTGAGCAAGTGAGATGGACTCATCACGGAACTCCAGGCTGTGTTTACACAATTGGTAAAAGAAACATTCCAGTCCCATTTCTTTGTCAGCTCCCACAGACCAACCAGCATCCCCCTCCCACTTGCCACTTTGATAGGGGTGACTGGTATCTCCATCTCCATATCTTTGTTGATCATGTTTCTGGTTTCCAATTGCGTCAACTTAACTGGTTGCCAATAATTCTATCATCTGAGGGGAAAGCAGAATCTCAACTGAACATGCAGATGTCCTATTGAGACTTTGCCCATAAGGGAGCAGTCTTTGGTGCTTAAAATTCCATCTTTTGGACCTCATATCAGTTGATGTTTTTAGTCGCATCGGAAACCAACTCTAAGTGATTTAAGCAGGAGAGAAAGTTATTTAAGGATATTTATAGTTCACAGAATCTCTAGGAGGAGAGGGGGGCTAGAAAACCAGACTTGAAGACTACACAGAGAGACTCCAAGTCACCCTGGGACTGACCTGAGATGAACAGGGAACTGGTATTTTTAGCTTCCAGAGGTAAATAACAGCCTTCACTTCCTTCAAAACTCATTAGGTAGAAAACACACCAAACATGGGAAAGGGGTCCAGGAGCTGGGCTACCAAAGAGAATAATAAATGTTCACTATAGTTTCATCTTCTAGTTTTGTACTATCCCTGAAACATTTTCTTTTTTCCTCCAGGAGCCTCAAAATTACGGTTAAGTCTACAGTTAGACAGAAGGAAACTGGTGTTTACTAAACACCAACTTTGTGCCTGGAAGATTCACTTACAATATCATGATCCTTACAATAACTCTGAAATATGGATCTCATTATCAGCATTCTTTTTTTGTTCGATTGGTTGGTTAGTTGGTTGGTTGGTTGGTTTTGGTGGTTTTGGTGTCAGGGTCTCTCTCTGTTGCTCAGGCTAGAGCATGGTGACATGATCATAACTCACTGCAGCCTTGAACTCCTGGAATCAAATGACCCTCCCACCTCACCTCCAAGTAGCTGGGACTACAGGCATGTGCCATCATGCCCAGATAATTTTCTTTTTCCTTTTTTTTAAGAGGCAGGGTCTTGCTATATTGCCCAGGTTGGTCTCAAACTCCTGGTGTCAAGTGATCCTCCCATCTTGGCCTCCCAAAGTGCCAGGATTACAGATGTGAGCCACTGCACCCAGCCTCCTTCTCAGCATTCTTATTATGTTTTATCTTATTATCCTCCAAGGATAGGTTAGGTAGTTGTTATGGGTTGAATTGGGTCTCCCCAAAATTCCTATGTTAAAGTCCTAACCCCAGTATCTCAAAATGAAGGTAGGGTCTGTATAGAGGTAATCAAGTTAAAATGATGTTATTAGGGTGGGCATTAATTCAATATGACTAGTCTCCTTATAAAAAGCAGACATTCACACACAAGGACACATGCACACAGGGCATATGATAGCAGAGATTAGGGTGATGCATCTGCAGGCCAAAGAATGCAAAACACTGCCAGCACACCACCAGAAACTGGGAGAGAGGCATGGAACAGATTCTTCCTCACAGCCCTCAGAAAGAACCATGCTGCTGACACCTTGACCTTGGAATTCTAGCCACCAGAACTGGGAAACAATAAATTTCTATTGTTTAAGTCACCTAGTTCGTGAGAGTTTATTACTATAGCCATAGCAAACTACTACAGGAATTCACCTCAAGTCTCATAGTGAATGAGAAGCAGAACCAGATTTGAACACAGGTCTGGCCAATTCCAACACATCAGCCTCTTCGCTATGACTGTATTATAATTCCTCTCCACCAAAAACTCTGGGGTGGTCTATAGCCTACGCTTAATGGTTATCAGATATTTTAAGCTGGAGGTCCTAATTTTGGTGGGAAAGATGCCAGTTTGGGTCATGTTGAGTTTGATGTGCCTGATAATACCCTGGCATTCAATAAACACTTGGATATATGAATCTGAAGTTTGGGGAGATATCCAAGCTCAAGAGAGACAATCAGAAGTCATTAATACACAAGTGAAAATGGAAACTCTGAGTATGAATCAGATCAACAAGAAAGAGCACACTAAGAACCAGTGGGCCTAGGATAATCCCTGGAGTAGCAATGATTTCTTTTTGCCACCTTATGTCACTTTTTTTTCCTTCTCCCATAGTAATAGAATTTTTAGCTAAGCACATGGGCTGCAGAGTAAAGACTACATTTCCCAGGCTCCCTTGCAGCTAGGTATGACCATGTTCAGGCTAAAGGAATGCTAGTGTCAGCTTCCTGAAAATTTCCTTATGAGGTAGATTTATGCCCTTTATTTATTCTTCTTCTCTGTCTTTCTTCCATCTTGCTCCCTGGAACTTGGATGTTGCCTTGATTCACAAGGATGAGGATCAATCCCAAGGAATTGTAGGGCAGTTAATTAGAAGAGGATTGTCTTAGTCCATTAGTGTTCCTATAAAGGAATAGCTGACACTGGGAATTTATAAAGAAAAAAATCATTTGGCTCATAATTCTGCTCTCTGGGAGACTGGGCATCTGGTGAAAGCCTCAGGCTGCTTCCACTCATGTCAGAAGGTATAGGGGAGGCAGCATGTGCAGAGACCACATGGGAAGAGAGGAAGCTAGAGGAGGAGGTAGGGGAGGAACCAGGCTTTCTATCAACTAGCTCTGAGAACTCATTCAGTCTCCCCACCTTGCAGGGAAGGCATTAATCTATTCACAAGTGACCCACTCCCATGACCCAAACACCTCCAATTAGGTCTTACCTCCACCACTTGGGATCAAATTTCAACATGAGATTTGGAGGATACAAACATCCAAACTAGAGAAAGACCTGTGATCCTGAGGACTTCCTGAAGTGGAGATGCCATATCAGCTCTGGACTGCAAATATCTGGACATTTGTATGACAGCTAAACAATTATTTTGTTCACGTCAATGTCGTTTTTTTTGTGTTTTTTTTTTTTGTTGTTGTTGTTATTCTCTGCTATACCCAATCCCAACTAACATACCTGGTAAACACCAGGACATAGGAGGTAGACATAGGAAAGAGACCAAAAAGGAATGGCCAAGATAATGGACATCTATTGTTATACATACTCATAAGAGCATCACTGTTCTGGAAATAATTCTCCTAACCAGTTGAGTTTTTTTTTTTACTTTGGGTTCAAGGAAAGAAGTTCTCAGACCTTGTATGATGTTCAAGGCCAGGAGCTATTGATGGCAATATCTCTTACACACAGAGAGACCTGTTGTCTTAGTCTCTTTGTGCTGCTACAACAAAATATCTGAGACTGGGTGATTTATTAAGCACAGAAACATTTTCTCACGGTTCTGAAGGCTGGGAAGTCCAAGATCAAGGTACTTGCAAATTTGCTTGTCTGGTGAGGGCTGCTCCGTGATTTCAAAATGATGTCTTGTTGCTAAATCCTCCAGAGAAGAGGAATTGTGTGTCCTCACATGGCAGAAGACAGAAGGGCAAGGTAACCGCATGAAGCCTTTTATAAGAGCCTTCATTTGTAAGAAAGAAGCTTCATGGCCTATTCATCTCTTATAGGTCCTATCTCTAATACTATCACATTAGCCATTAAGTTTCAACACCTGAATTATGGAGTGGACTCATTCAAACCATAGTCATCTGAGAGAATGAAGTCATCACGGAAAACGGAGAAGCGATGAAAGACCTGGAGAATTCTGCCACCATCATCCCTGGTGTCAGGCCTCTGAGCCCAAGCCAAGCCATTACATCCCCTGTGATTTGCACGTATACACCCAGATGGCCTGAAGTAACTAAAGAATCACAAAAGAGATGAAAATGCCCTGCCCGCCTTGACTGATGACATTCCACCACAAAAGAAGTGAAAATGGCCGGTCCTTGCCTTAAGTGATGACATTACCTTGTGAAAGGCCTTTTCCTGGCTCATCCTGGCTCAAAAAACTGCCCCACTGAGCACCTTGTGACCCCCACTCCTGCCCACCAGAGAACAATCCCCCTTTGACTGTAATTTTCCTTTACCTACCCAAATCCTATAAAACAGCCCCACCCCTATCTCCCTTCGCTGACTCTCTTTTCAGACTCAGCCCATCTACACTCAGGTGATTAAAAAGCTTTGTTGCTCACACAAAGCCTGTTTGGTGGTCTCTTCACATGGATGCACATGACACCTGGTACAGTTGTAACTGCCCAAGAGGTTTGCCTTGCCCACTGCCTAGACAGAGCCAATTCATCAAGACAGGGGAATTGCAATAGAGAAAGAGTAATTCACTCAGAGCCAGCTGTGCCAGAGACCAGAGTTTTATTATTACTCAAATCAGTCTCCCTGAGCATTCCAGAGCGGAGTTTTTAAGGATAACTTGGTGGGTGGAGGGAAGCCAGTGAACCGGGGTGCTGATTGGTGAGAGATGAAATCACAGGGAGTCGAAGGTGTCTTCTTGCACTGAGTCAGTTCCTGGGTGGGGACCACAAGATCAGATGACCCAGTTTATTGATCTAGGTGGGGCCAGCTGATCTATCAAGTGCAAGGTCTGCAAAATATCTCAAGCACTGATCTTAGGAGCAGTTTAGGAAAGGTCAGAATCTTGTAGCCTTCAGCTGCATGACTCCTAAACCATAATTTCTAATCTTGTGGCTAATGTTAGTCCTAGAAAGGCAATCTGGTCCCCAGGCAAGAAGGACGTCTGCTTTGGGAAAGGGCTGTTGCTGTCTTTGTTTAAACTATAAACTAAGTTTCTCCCAAAGTTAGTTCAGCCTACGCCCAGGAATGAACAAGGACAGCCTGAAGGTTAGAAGCAAGATGGAGTTGGTTAAGTTAGATCTCTTTCACTGTCTCAGTCATAATTTTGCAAAGGTGGTTTCACAATCTTTCCTAAGTTACAACCATATTGCTTCTTTTTTTTTCATCAGAGCTTCCCACATGAGCTAATTCATTCCAACTCTTATTAGAAATCTAGTTAAAGTTGGGTTTCTGCCATTTATGACCTAAAGTCCTGAGTGATATAATCAGAGAGCTATAAGGAAAATCAAGAAAGTGTGCTGTCATGGAAGAGGATGTTAAGGAGTAATCAATAGTATCAGAGGCAGTAGAAGGGTCTGGTCAATTAAAGACTAAAAAGTGCCTGATGGATTTGGCAATAAAGGTGGTCACCATTATGACAGCAATTCCATGAAGTTAACGCTGGAATCAGATTTCAATGAGTTTAAGAGTGAACAGGAAGTTAAGAAGAGGAGACAGTGAATGACAAAGACCTCTGCTGAGGAATTGGAAAGGAAAGGAGGAAGTTTAAAGGATAGATACAGGGGGCCTTGGGTTAATAAGGGTTTTGTTAAAAAGCAAAAATTTTTTGCATTTTTTTTTTTTTTTTTTTTTTTTTGAGACAGAGTCTCGCTCTGTCACCCAGGCTGGAGTGCAGTGGCCGGATCTCAGCTCACTGCAAGCTCCGCCTCCCGGGTTCTCGCCATTCTCCTGCCTCAGCCTCCCGAGTAGCTGGGACTACAGGCGCCTGCCACCTCGCCCGGCTAAGTTTTTGTATTTTTTTAGTAGAGACGGGGTTTCACTGTGTTAGCCAGGATGGTCTCGATCGCCTCCCAAAGTGCTGGGATTACAGGCTTGAGCCACCGCGCCCGGCCTATTTTTT